TGTATGAACAGTAGGAAGAAACAAAGATAGAAATTAAAAATAAATTGGTTGCACTAGAGAAGAAATTATCTTGAAAAATAGTGGATTTTTTCAAACACTGTCATCTAGTGACAATAATTTAATTTATTACATAACCTTATATTCTTAGTTAAATATATTAACATTTATTGTTAAGTTAAATTATAGATTAACTCTTAAATAAAATAAAATTTACAGTATCAAAAGAATATTACTTACTCTTAATTCAAAAAAAAAAAAAAGTAGATTGTGTATGAAACAAAGATAGAAATTAAAAATAAATTGGTTGCATTATTATCTCTCGAAAATGGTGGATTCCTTCAAACATAAAAAGATAGATTGCACGTGAATGATATATCATTTTACCGCCTCGTACGAACAAGATACAAAGTCTAACCTAACTAATCCATACGTTCTAAGACATTCCGGGCAACTAAAGATCGTCCAATGGAAGGGAATTAAAATTCAAGCGACGATCTGAAATCTTCGGTAGGAAATGGCGAAGCAGCGTGTGTGGCACTTTGGAGAGAGCGGTGGGAAATATTTGCGCCGACAACGTTTTACATCGAAATGGACGTGTAACGGGGCCTTTTTGGCAGGCGAGCCGCGTTCCAAGCGGATTGCCAGGACGGGATGCGGCGCGGCGTGTCTCGTGTTTGCCGCTACCAAACTCGGCAATATTTAAATGGGATTGCGTTCGGGAATGTAATTGCTCGGGCAAACACGGCCCGTGAAACGTTGGGACGGATATGGACAGAGAGGAGCCCCCGGGCTGACAGACGGGGAAAACCAACGGCGTTGGGGTGAAGGAGAGAAATCCGACGTGGATGCGCAAACAGCAAAACGCAGAAGAAAAGAAAATGGTAGCTGAATGTGGTGGAGAATGATGCACCGAGGAGGAGGGGGATCGACAGCACGAGGATTCTCGTAATAAAGAGACTTGTAATTCCGTTAGCAGATGGACGAAGAAGATTATGGTTACGATGATCAGCAAGGAGAGATCTTGCAAAGATGAAAAACTGATTTTTTTCGCAACACTTAGAGAAACTTGTCTGGCGAGAGTGTCAAATAAAGAAGTAAAGAAGGAGGAAGGATGATTTAGTTAGCAGAATTGCATCGTCAATTGCTACAGTCTCCGCGAATTAAAATCTCTTTTCTCGATTCGCTTCGAAGTGAAGAAACACGCGAGTACACGAAAGTTCTCCACCTTCTCCGCGTGCTCCTGTGAAAGAACCAAATATACATAATCGAAGCCAATCCAGGGACACATGTGTATCATCGACCCCTAGCGAAACCGTGAAAGACACACACGGAATCCAGGTGAATGGATCCGAAGGATGGAAAAAGAAGAGGCGAGCCGTCGAGCAGGGGAATGGAAACGGACAGGAAGAGGAGCGAGTCGTATTCATTGAATGACGCTTGCGTACAAGGGGATGAAAGAGAGAGCATCGACTCTCGAGAGAAAGAGGAAGCAAGGGAGAATTAACACGCGTGCAACGAGGACAACGGGGTAGTATTGGCGGCGGGAGGGTGGAGAGGAGAGGAGAGGAGAGGAGAGGAACAGGTAGAGCAAAGAGAAGGGAGAAGCCAGGCTAGATGGAAACGGTTTGGAGAGGGAAACGGCCTATAACGCAGGCAGACGGAGCCAATCAGGGCGCAATGCGATTACCTTAACGAGAAATCCGATTACTTATTCATTCGCCTAACTCGAAATCAGTTTAACTAATCGTTTAATTCGGTAGCTAACCCACCCCCCCCCC